GACTAACAGTTTTTTAGAAAACATTTTGAAAGCTTACAAATGTTTCCAAGTAAAGGGAGTTTTAGCCCCAAAGCTCTCATTTACAGTTTCTCTTCCTGGATCTGAGGCAGCGCTTATCTGGAGTTCCTACATGGCAGGCAAATGTGAAGATGGACAGAATGTGTTGCCAGTTTCAAACTAGACCCACTACTGTCCATTTGTCCCTGCCTGGCAGTTGCCCTGCTGTCACACACTGTCAGAAGGAAGTGCTGCACCACTACTCTCTCCTTGGCTGGCCTGTGACCCTGGCCTTGGAGGGGAACAATAAGTTACTTTAACTGTGATGATGATTGCCAAGGAAGCAGAGGGACCTGCTATGGAAGTCGACCTGACTCTTCTGTACTTGTAGGGGTCTCCACTCTAACTTAAACCAGCAGGTGTGTGTACAGAGATGGAGAAAAAGCTGGGGGCCAGGAGTCTCCCCACAGATGGGTGGTTCTGCTACAGTGGACAACCATTCCGTGTCCTGTGCCTCAATTCCACCAGCAGTAAAATGGGGCAATGCATGGACCGCCCATAACTCTACTAATCTTGTACCCGGCCACTTTCACATCCATCACCTCTCAGGAACCCGCAGGCCACTTTCACATCCATCACCCCTCAGGGACCCCCATTGTCAGGGATCAAGGTCGAAGGAGTTCCCTCCAAGGATTACTTTGGGAAAGATCTCCCCCTGGGTCTGGGAAGCTGGGGACCGCTCAGTTTAAAGCTGCTTGAGATGGAGCCTGTGTCCCGGGCTCCCAGCCACGCCCTCCTGCTTTCCAGCTCGCCCTCCTGGGGCGCTCGTCCTGCCCCCTTCCTCCCTGCCCGCCAGCTATGCACAGTCCCCTGGCGACTGGCGCTCATCCAGGCGACTGGCAGTTCACTCCGGGGGAGGGCGCCGTCTGGGGACGCCCCTGGCGGGCTGCTCGGCGCTCTCCTCCTCACCCGGGACCCGCCCCTCGCTGGGGAGCTGAGCGGCTGTGCTGGGTCCTCTTTACAGCCGCAGGTGCCTGAGCCCAGCGCGCAGCCCTGCCGGGCCATTCCCTCAGCCGCTCCTGATCGGCAGGTGTCTTCTGTTTCAGTCTTTCCTGGCCTGCTGAGTGCTGTCAGCCCCTGCTCCTCGAATGGAAGCATCAACCTGAGGTGAGTGGAAAGGTTCGGGAAAGGATGTAGACTGAGTGAGTAGTGATTGTACATAGCAAATCACATAGCCCTATGTGAAGAGGGGCACTGGTGGGTGGCTGAGAAGTTCAAGGGATGGGGGATGAAGAAAGAATACAGAGGCAACCGTTCAGGTTAACTCGCACAATCAAATGGAGGAAAAGATCCACCTTAGTTATTACCCGCATCTGCTCCTCCACTTTCGTACCACCTTGGCCCCAAAGACTTCAAGAAATATTCCCTGGGTTGAAATGAACGAAGGGAAGTTTTCCCACCAGAGTCTTTCATCCAGCTTCAAAGTAAGCGACCCGTTGTTTTCCCTGTTTGCCTTAGTCTCTACAAGGTTCCCTGCCCCATCCGAAGCTGAGAAGTTTTGAACGTTTCCTCACTGAAAAGTAAATGTGCTGTATTCACTCTGTGGATTGCTAAGCGGCACTTAAAAACCGTAGATCGGGGCTGTGAAGATGTGCACGCTCATTCTTAGATCTCAGAAATAGGATGGCTAAGGATCACTGCAAGACAATAGGCGCACCTCCTCCAGGTTTGGATGGCTTATTTTAAAAACACTTCTCGGGTTTTAAAAGTGTGGAGGTGTGTACAGATCCATGAGCTGTCTTTGGGAGGTGGGAAAAGGCAGTCTACTTGGCTTGAGGGCTAATGTGGAAATGTTTACTTACCAGTAACTTTCAATACCTAAAACCGATGAAAACAGAGTTGAAAATTAAAAACAATTGCTAATAGAGAATGTTTGCTAACGTTGATGCTTCCTGCTTTTGTTCTTTCCTGTGTTTCTAAATATTTTCAATTGACTTGTTTTCAAATGCAAAAAATAATAATTATGACTGGACACGTTGTGATAATGAAATCTATATGGTGGTGTCAGATGTTGCAACATCTTTGCATCAGACCTGGTGTTCTCCAACTCTAGGAGTCTTTAGGGAGGCAGCTGCTCAGAGCCTCCTGACTAGTTCAAGGCTCCAAGCCACACTTGAGATGCGGATATTAGAAAATTAGGTCACATTTAACAATCTGGTAACAATGGGGTCAAAGTAGAATGGGAACTCTTGTCCATCCCTGCAAGACAAATTATCTTCTTTTTGTGCTTAGGGATTCCCCTTCTGTACATGGCTGCTGTACTCCATGCTCAGCTAACGCTGAGGACTAGTCTGGAACAGGAGGTCAGGAAGGGTAGAGGTTTTATGGAAATAGTCTTACATCTCTCCTGTTCTCTACTCAACAGAGTGGAAAGAATGAGTCACCATTTTCCTGCCAGAGAAAGGCCTATTTCTTTCTAGTCATGAGAGAAACTTATCTAATTTAGTTAGACATATAGGGGGTTGGGGAGAAAGTTAAAAAGAATTCTAAACTAGATGAAGTAGCTACCATGAGAGACCATAAAATGTGTACACCAGAATGGAGGTCTGAAATGTGAAAGAACTTGATAATATTCCCACCTCTTTCTTCATCTGATTTGACAGCATGTGAGGTCAACACTTGACACATCTTTCGTGGTGGCCGAAAGATGGGCTACTTGAGAAAAACGTAAGGTGTGAAGAAAACTGCAAGCCTGGTTGAGTTGCCATGTGGTATGAACGCATGCACTGAGACTGCTCCCGGATGTAAGGGAGGATAGCCCAACGGCAGTGTTAAAAGTCATTGTTCCTTAAAATGTACTGGACCAATTTTCCTTTACAAATGTTGCTGGTAGTAGAGACATTGGTATTTCTTTTCTAGACTACAGGCAATAATAAAGCACAAAGGATACTCAGTGCTATCTTTTAATCCTCTGTCAAATGCATTGAGCATCCTACATACTCTTCCTTAATTCTTTGTTCTCTGTTTAGAGGCCGTTTGATTTGTTTTTAACTTACATAGACACTAGTTCTTCCTGGACATCAGAAATCCCACAGAGCTCGCTTCAGCCACCAGTTACTACCACCCCACCCTCTCCCCAACCCTAGTCCACTTAATTGGTCACTTCCTAATTGCTGACTCTTTCTTTGCTCTCCATTAAATGATTCTTTTTAAAGACTATAAGGCCGTTTGCCAGCGGTTGACATTTAGTTGGAAAAACAGCAATTCCTTAATGGATCCTCCAAATGAAGGGTTGACTTACATTTTCCTAATAAGAAAATGAGTTTTTTTTCTATACCTAGGGGCTTCCCAAGTTCTTTTAAAAAATAACTTATTCATAAACCAGGCTTTCTTGGATACTTCCTCTAATTCTGCATCTAAATAAGTGTTTTCTTTGTGTGTAAAAACAAAATGTCAACAAGTGTCAACAGCTAAAAAATAATAAATGCCAAGGAAATATTACACCTATCAAAATAGTGGAAATAAACACTTACTCTTTCCATACTGTGTATGCCAGGTGCTTTGCTAGTTGCTTTAATTCTATTGCTTTACTAACTACATTTATAAGTCATGTTTTTCCCAAGCACAATATTTTTGAGCTGTATAGTTGAGCTGAATTTTAAAATGTTCTTTTATAAAATCTGGCTCATCTCCTCTTCCCGTAGCTCGAAATTCTCCGGCCAGTATTTTCACACTGCAGCAGTATCTGCATCTGATCACAAGTGCATTTCTAGATTAAGTCAGTTCCACGACCATTGCCCTCATAGCACCTGAATGTCCCATACCTAGTCTGGTCTGATCTGGTCTTTTGTGTGAGCTTCCTGGCATTTAAAGGCATTTGAGCTTGTGACTCCTGAAGGAGGCACTGTTATGTCCCCATTTTAGTGGCCAGAGGCTAAGTAACTGTTTCAAGGCCATGACCATGCAATTTTTAGGACTGGAACCCAGACATTGCCAGGATGGCAAGTCTTTACATTTATGTTTTTAAAGGAATCAGTGGGTACATGTACACTTTAAGGGAGAGTTTATCGCTAAGTTATATGGTATAATTTGAGCTCCAGTGTGATCAGCAATTGCTGATCATGTATACTATAAAAGCACTTTATGTATTATGTTACGTATCTATCTATGTTTGTATATTCAGTACACAAAGACTGTTTTCATAGTTCTAAAAATTCCCCGGCTAGCCAGTATTTCTACACACTGGCTTTGTGTAACAGATGCCTAAGAGCCAGGGATAATGGTGAACATCGGTACTCTCCAAACTATTGAGGTTGAGGTAGGTAAACAGGAGTTGAAGGCCAGCCTCAGCTACAGAAGAGAATATGCCCCCAAACAAACAAAATTTATAAATGTCACATAACGTGCATATTCAGGTGTTACAACACGGGACTCACATAATATGAACATATGAATATATATGCCATATATTTACAAAGAGTTAAATGTATGTGTACTCTTCTTTTGGATAAAGACCATTATCAACTCCAAGTTCCAGAGAAGAAAGTGTTTGGAAGAAGCCAACTACTCACTAGTAACATCCAACCAAATGTGGTGGCTTCCAGGGTGACTGGAAAGTAAGGCAAGCTCATGCTTAAGAGTAAAGATTTTAAGATTGTTCTTGGTCACACAGCAAAAAATGAAAATGGAAAGTTAGCCTATTTTTTAAAATATAGAGAGAGGTTGGCTAAAATTACTTTTATTTAATAATCACTTTATTGACCTCACTTTAAAGTTTTCTTAATACCTGGGAATGTAGTTTGCTCTCCTCCTACTTTATAAGTAGAGGTTGGCTTTTGATGACACTGTGCAGTGTGGCTTCTGTTGCCCCACTGTCATTTCTATTATTATTCTTAAGGACAAAACTTTTGCTACAACAATACAAATGAATGTTTTTGCTACAGTCTGCATCCAGGGCATCTATCACATACTGTAGTATAAGGATAATCTCTCACCTCTCTCTCCTAGACATCCAGCCAATGTTCTGTGACCTACATTGAACAAAGATGAGTGTTTCTTCCAGGATACTGTAACTAGAGTGTCCAGGTCAGTTCAGACTTGACCATGGGAGCCAACACTTCAAGCAAAGCACCAGTGTTTGATGAAAATGAAGACGGTAAGAAATGTGCCATACTGACATGTAAAAAATGGAATTTTGTGAAATTGAAATAAAAGCACATGGCTTCACAGTAAGTAGAAGGAGGGTCTACAGGGTAGCTAAGGATGAAGGAGAGTGAACAACAGGATGAAGCTCAAGGACTTTGTATGTTGATATCTAGAATGTATTGTTTACTTTTTATGATGCCTTTGGCAACTTTCATAATCACTACCATTCTACTAGTGGCTTCCCTGCTCCAAAGAGTGCTATATCCCATGGTAGATATTTATATTTAGATGATTGTGTGTTTCCTTTGATGTTCCTTTGACAGTTGAAGTCACTCCTGTGGCAAGTTTCTCTCTCTCTCTCTCTGTCTCTCTGTCTCTGTCTCTGTCTCTCTGTCTCTCTCTGTCTTTCTCTCTCTCTCCCTCTCTCTCCTCATAATATAGAATTGAGTTTTAAAAAGTAGATGCCTTCTGAATTTCCAGCTATCACATTTCTGTATCCCAGACATTTCACAGTAGGGGGTCATTGTGAGAATAACCAGATTGAGGAAAAGGGAAACACTAAAGGCTAGGGTTAATTAGACAAGGAACATTTGTCCTCCTTCCTTCCCATCAAGTCCCAGCAGTGGCATATTGGGATAGAGCCAGTGCCTTGCTCTGTCTTGTTTCCTTCCCATGGTAGAAGATTAGGCACTCTTCTTGGAGTGTATTGGATGGTAGCTGTTAACTATACTCTTAGACAAAGAAACACTGGGTACTAAGTAGTAAGTTGTTCAGGTTTCCAAGAGGGGGAGTCCAGAATAACTTCTAAAGCGTTCTTCTAATTGCACCAGAAATGAGAAGGGTGAAGTAGAGTTTCAGGATTCTATTGAACCTTCAACTAATTCTACTATCAGCTAGCTGTTCAGATTAAGAAACATGTGTAGTCTTCTAGCTCAGTCTTCACTTCAGTAAAGAGGTAGAAAAGAACCCCAAAGAGACTTTCCTGCTCAGAACACATTGTTTGGCTAAATCACACAGCTACTTCTGGATCTTCCAGGCAAGTTTATTGTGTTAGAATGTAAGCTTGATCTTTAAAACAGAAGCAGATCATGAAAAATGGATATATGCTTCCTTCTCTAACTATCTGGAAAACACAGGGCTAGGGAGCTGGCTCCAAGTACCTTGCTTTCCCTTTCTCCTCCCATCTCTAGAAGAGTGCTCATGACCTCACACTTATGGATGAATGGTCCATTTATATCGAACCTCCAGCTGCTAAGAAAGAAAAGTCAGTAAAATGTACTCATTCCTTTAAGGATTTGATCTGGTCTGGCACTTTGATTCACATGCGCATACTCAACTTCTAAGACAGCCTGCAAAATGCATTTTATTGTTTTGGGTAGCCACAAACCTTCTAAAAATAAGTTTTTATTACAAAACTGGGGGTAATTTGAAGTTTGTCACAGATAGGAAACCACTATGTTTGCTATGGTTGATGAACACATTCTGGTATTGAGTGCTTAGATGCACTAAAATACAGAGTATTTCACTGTTCCATACACCTTGTTTCAAATATCAAGCTTTTTGTCATCAACATAGGAATAGCATCACTCTGCTCTCCAGAAAATATTCCATGGGGATAGAAAGAATTATATAACTGGGAAGCTCTTAAACTTTTCATTGCTATTTTTGGTGTCTTCCTTTGTTTTATCAAGTAGTTTAAGGAAGGTTCTAGAGACTATCAATGTTATGTGACTCTCCCATCCTTAAAGCAGAAAGATGAGCAGACTTGCTTTTCATGGGGTTCACTATGCTCTCTGTGGACAATGCACCAGTGCTTGCATGGGAAAGATCTACATAGTAAAAAGAGTCAGAAAATGGGTATCAAATTCATACTTAAGTTGGGAGGGATATTACATCACCTGGAGGTAGGGCATTGTGAGGCTAAGAAAGCACATTTTTTCTTATGCGGTACCAGAGATAGCTGTATATCTAGTGGTTTGATAAACTTTATAACTGTCTTTAAATGATTTTAACAATAAAGTTAAACTAGAAAAGAGATAGGCTTTAAAACTAGGAGGTCTTGACACACTTAGATTGTTCCCTTTTTGCTATCCTGTCCTAAACCCACTGGAAGAACATACAACAGCCTTCATAAAGAGAAAATCTAAAATAACAGAACATTTCCTCTCTGCCTCTTAGAGGGGTTAGGCTCTCAGTTCATTTACATAGGCTGTTACCAGTCTACTGAAAGTGGTTCCCAGCTTGTGGGTCATAACCCCTAAGAGGGTCAAACAACCCTTTCACGGGGTCACCTAAGACCATCCTGCATGTCAGATATTTACATTATGATTCACATCAGTAGCAAAATTACAGTTATGAAGTAGCAATGAAAATAATTTTATGATTGAGAGTCACCACAACAGGAAGAACTGTATTCAAGGGTCATGACAATAAGAAGGCTGACAAGCACTGATATACTGTGAGCCTGTCACTGCTAGGCTCAGAGAACTGAGGAAGAAGGGAGCCTGGCCTTTGTTCCCTCCCTTGGAGGCTGTCACCTAAAGATTGAAGGCAATCATGTGTCAAGAACACAAAACTGGGAAGTTCACCAAGGGAAAGACTCTGAGTGATCTTGGGGGCAGTAGGACAGTGATCACTGGGGCTAGAAGAAGCTATTTTACAGAGGCCTCAGAAAAATAATTCAAGCACAGGGGAAAGCAACTCCAAAGCATAGAGAACGACAACTGGGGAGTATGCACTCACCTGCATCATGGCAGCCATTGGTGCATGTGAGTTTGTCCAAGATGACTTCCCACATGAGTTTATCCCTTTATAAGATCATTATATTTTGAGGAAAAAAGGCACAGTACTCTGATGAAGTCACTATGTGTGTGTGCGTGCATCCGTGTGTGTGTGTGTGTGTGTGTGTGTGTACATGCGTAGGTACTCTTGTATGGAGGTCAGCAGTTGACATTGTGATGTTTCTGCTAGACTGATGGGCCAAAAATCCTCCCCCACCATCAGAATCTGCCTGTCTCTTTCTCCTAACCCAAGTTCTGGGATTACAACCATGTTTAGCTTTTACTTGGGTTCTGGGGCTCTGAACTTTGTGTTCATGCTCATTTTCCTCACTGAGCCAGCCCCCAGCCTCTGTTTTTCAGTTCAGTATTCCCTATGGGCTTCATTTGGCTCTTTGTCCAGCTGTGGACTGAGCACAAGCTAAGGCTGTATTTGACCGCTTTCAAGCTTCTGTCCAATGGGGAACAACAAAATCCCTGGCCAATCAAATATCTATTTCATTTTTATATCTATATTTTTGTATAAATAATAAAACTGGGCCAGAATCTAGAGCACTAAATGAGCCAATTTAATTACTTTAAAAATGCTGCAGAGAAGAACCCTTTAATGTGATGAAAAAAGTATTTAACATTTCCTTTAAGTGGTTTAATATTCCCAGTATATAGTCGAGAAGAATACTGAATAGTTTTCTCTGACAATGTTATATAAGTTATTTCTCATATAAGAGTGTTTTTGTTCATTTTGAAGATAATTAAGAAATAAGATGAACTGTTGCTAGAAGTCCCTTGAGGTGAACTCTCCTTGTTAGAATTCACCCTGATACCAAAAGGTTATGGCAGCTCATCTGACCTCTGACTGTGAAAGAGTCATCTTGTTCGTTACTTTGGTTGATGATGCAACTGGGAGATTAATTTGCTAGCTAAGAAAATAAAGTTTTGCTTATTTAATTTTTTCTTTTTTAAGAAAGATTTGTTTATTTTTATTTTATGTACCTCGGTGATATGACTGCATGGATGTCTGTGTGACAGTGGGGTCAGATCCCCTGGAACTAGACTCACAGACAGTTGTGAACTGCCATGTGGGTGCTGGGAATTGAACCTATGTCTTCTTGGAGAGCAATCAGTATTCTTAACCACTGAGCCATCTCTCTTTCCCCAGTACTTTTTTTCTTGTAAAGCAAATCTTACATGCTTAGTATACATTCTTGAATAACTGTGAGACTTAAGAAAAAGAATGTAAGTGAAGCAGTAAGATGTTCCATGTAAAGTAACCACCCAATTAATAGTAATTAATAGTAGGATTTACTAGTTAGTGCCAGATTTTCTTAGCATGAGCACTTTCAAGTACTTCAGCTTCCTGAAATAAATAGATTAAATATGACAGCAGATACTACAGTCAATGTGGCTGACTAATGATAATACCAATTGAACTGATTTGACAGAATACAGGTTTATAGGTTCTATAGAGATGTATATAGTCCAATCATGGCTTGTCTTTTATCTCTCTAAGATGATATTTTCTTTCATCCTTTTCTTTTCTCTTTTAGTCCCAAAGTGACTATTAAAGTAACAATTTGATTAGCAGACAAGTTTTTCCCCACACTTAATGACTAGACACATATGCTGAGAAAAAATTACTAATGTAAATGAATTTGTCATACACACACAAAAACATGAATGCAAGTCACTTTGGTTTTTAATGTTAATATTGTTGTTAAATTTACTTTAATTCATGTCTGAATGCAGTTGTTTGGTTTTCTTGGTTGTGATAGAATTGCTAATTGGTTCTGCTTGTTTTCTTAAATCAGTATTTTAAAAGTTGAAAAGTTGCAAAAAAGAAAAATTCAACAAAAAGAGGGTGTCTTGTAGTGGTGATGGGTAGTAATATGTTTCCAGGCATACACCGAGAGCAGAGAGGTGAAAAGTTGGCTTAGTTAGTCTAAGAGACAGCTGCCTTTTGTACCTAAGCTAAGGAAAATTGGCCTTAGGTTAAAAGTTTCTCTAAAGAGTTCATCAATGCCCTGAGTTTGCAGGGAGGAGGGGTTGGGAGGGTTCGGTTATTGTATTCTTCTTTGGATTTGGTGGAAACTCAATGTTCTTTCATTTGGCAACACTTGTCTCCTAGGATATGTGGCTGTTTCCAGTTTCCAACATCTTCAGTGACAGAGGCAATGGGGGTTCTACAAAATGTTGAGCCAAGAAAACTGGCCAGAGATTTCAATCCAAAAAAAGA